CTTTTTTAATGTTTATTTATTTTTGAGACAGAGAGAGACAGAACATGAACATAGGAGGGTCAGAGAGAGAGGGAGACACAGAATCTGAAAGGCTCCAGGCTCTGAGCTGTCAGCACAGAGCCCGACACGGGGCTCGAATTCACAGACTGTGAGATCATGACCTGAGCCAAAGTCGGACGCCCAACCGACTGAGCCACCCAGGTGCCCCTGCAATGGCATTTTTTAAATTGATACTGCCAAATGACCTGAGGATGAAGAGCAACTGACTCTCATACATTGCTGACCAGAGTGCACAATGTTATAGACACTTTGAAAACAGTTTGGCAGTTTCCTAAAAAGTAAAACATCCACTTATCATGCCACCTAGAAAAATGAACAGAATCAGTAAACAGGAGGGTTCAATATGGCTGCCAAATATAAGATCAACTTACAAAAATCAGTAACTAGAATTCTCTGTGTCAGCAATAAAACAGCTACACTTAGGAAATGTAATAAATACAACAGCACTCACCATAACAAAAACTACGTGGTATCTAAAAATACAAAAGATCTGTACAAAACATGTGTAAATCTAATAAAAAACATGTTATAAATAAATGGAGCAACAGTGCTTGTTCTTGGATGAGAAAACTTAACAAAGGTATCAGTTCTCTCTCCCAAATCAATCTATAAATTAAACGCCATCTCAAATTCCAGCTAAAATTTTAAGATAAGTGATTAACTTACTCTAAATCTTATATGGAAGAATAAAAGTACATGAATAGTTAGGCTACTTTTTAAAAGCAATTTTTAAAAAATATTTATTTTTCAGAGAGAGAGCCCATGTGCTCAGGGAGGGGCAGAGAGACAGGGAGACAGGATCTGAAGTGGGCTCTGTGCTGACAGCAGGGAGCCCGATGCGGAGCTCAAACTCACTAACCGAACTGCGAGATCATGACCTGAGCCCCAGTCAGACGCTTAACCGACTGAGCCACCCAGGTGCCCCAGATTATTTTTAAAAAGATGAGGGGTGTCTGGTGGCTCAGTCGGTTAAGTGTCTGACTTCAGCTCAGGTCATGATCTCGCGGTCCGTGGGTTCGAGCCCCGTGTCGGGCTCTGTGCTGATAGCTCAGAGCCTGGAGCCTGTTTCAGATTCTGTGTCTCCTTCTTTCTCTGACCCTCCCCTGTTCATGCTCTCTGTCTGTCTCAAAAATAAATAAATGTTAAAAAAAAAAAAAAAAGATGAACAAAAAAGTGGCCTGTTCTACTAGATATTAACAGATACTTCAAAAGCAAAATAATTTAGAGATATTAGAATATGGAACACATGAACAGATAAACAGACCAATGGCATAGAATAAGGACCAAACAAGCAGGCATATATGCCACACACACACACCCTATGACGCTACAGATAAAACAAGATGGCTGTGAGTTGGTCACTGTTGAAAGTGGGTGAAGTTGAAACTCGGGTTCATACAGTATTCTCTGCACTTCTGTATATGCTTAAAAAGTTCTGTAATAAACCCAAATTCAGAACAAAGACAAAAATCAAAGCATATACTGCTTCTGTGACCCCAAGGTACTTAGATATGAGCCCCCCAGGACTTGGGGCTGGATTTTTAGGCCTAGTCAGAGATAGAAGACATGGCCTCAGGTTGCTTAAGGAGGAATACTTGGGACTGAGCCCAGATGCTCAAAGACCTGTTATACCTTAGAGAAGGCTAAAAATACTCCATTTAGGGGCACCTGGGTGGCTCAGTTGGTTGAGTGTCTGACTCTTGATTTTAGCGCAGGTCACAGTCTCATAGTTTGTGAGTTTGAGCCCTGCATCAGGCTCTGAGCCCCCTGCTTGGGATTCTCTCTCTCCTTCTTTCTCTGCCCTCCCTTGCCCCCAATAAATAAATAAACGTAAAAAATAAAGTAAAAATATATTCCATTTAGCCCAATGAAGCAGTGAAGACATTTAGCTCACATCAAAAGAAAAGATAAACAGGTCCAACAAATACTTAAAATCCACAGCCTGTATCATACCTAAATTTGTGGTCTAGATTTAATGGTATGGAATGGTATGGAAACTCTAAGGTAAGAAAATAAAATAAGTTAGTCCAGGACAACAAAAATGCCTGGGGACTCAGCAGTAGTAAAATACAAAGTAGGGATACTTCCATGAGAGGGCACATGGGAGCTCCAACAGCACACAAAATCCACTGAAAATGAGTTCACAATCAAAAATCACAAACCACAAGAGGCAACAGCCTGCCCTGTGGAAGAATCTGATCACTGGAGAACTGCAAGTAACTAGTGTTACTAGAAGTTAATGTGTAAAACGATTACATACCTTCTTAAGGAAACAGGAACAATAATGGCAAACATAGTACAGACCAATGTGCCTCCAACTCCTGAAGAATCATAAATGATCCCCAATGCCCTGAGTAAACGCCAAAGCTTGCACAAGGCCCTGTAAGGCCCTGTGACCTCTCCTATCTCTGTGACTTCATCTCCTACTAATCCCCCCTGGCTTACTCTGCTACAGCTACACAGTTGCCTAAGTCAGTCCTCCACTTGAGGGCCTTTGCACTGGCAGTTCCTTATGCATGAAATATACTTCCCCCAGATTGCCGCATGGCTCACTCCTTGACTCCTCCATGTTTCCATTCAAATGTCACCTGCTCACTGAGGCCATTTCTGACCATACTGTTTAAAACTGCAACCCGACTCATGCCCTGCTATTCCCTGCACTGGCTGACTGGTTAGTTGATTTTTACACAGTGTGTACCATCATCTCACACACACATACACATATACACACACATATACACACATATATATTATATTATCTTGTTTACTGCCTTCCACCCCAATTAAAATGTAAATTCAATGAGAAATACTGTGTCTGTTTTGATCAGTTCAGGATCCTTAGAGCCCAGAAGAGTGTCTATCATAAAGTTGGTGTTCAACAAATACTTATTGAATGAAAAAAAATGAGGAAATTAGAGAGATGATCATTCTTCAAAATATGTGGTAGAATTCTCTCATTCATTCATGCAAATACACATGAATGCTCAAACATTAACTAAGTAGTTACTTTATACAAGGGAGGATCAAGATAAGGGTATTCCTTTCTCTACTGTGGAAGTTCTTTCTTCTTTTCCTAAAAAAAAAAAAATGACTAAAACTGACTTTTCTAAAAAATAATTTACCATAAAACATTAGGATATTTTCTAAGTTACGATAAGTACACAGACAGTATAATAAAAATCACCTTTCACAGTTCAGCTTCCTGTTCCTTATTTTTATCCTTCCTTAGAACTAACTCATGTGTATGTCCACACCAACAACACCAATTTCTGTATGACTACGTGTCTAAGTGCAACTTCTTGTCTCCTACTTTCTCAGTTTATGGGTTTTGAGCATTTCTACTTATTGTTGATACCTATACCCTTGGAGATATATACAGAAATGCTAGAGGTAGGTATCAAAATTTGGAAAGACAAAAGCCAAGGACTATAATACGGTATTGTAATATCCACCTCTGCTAAATTCCAACTGTTCTCTTACTAACAGCTACATGCACGTGCATTCTGGTAACAATACAGCTTGTGCCTCATCCAAGACTTCAGAGATACAGAACACTGAACAGAATACTATATCCCTCTGACAAAAATCTCTGCTCATTATTCTCTTCAGCTAGTCTAATAATTTTCAGATGACACAGAGTATTTTTTTTTTCCTTAAGGTTACTATTGGGGCCAAGAAGGATGTTCCCTCACCTTGTTTAGGGATAAATTTGGATTTGTGCTGTATTGAGCCCACTAATAATCAGAACCTAAAATTATTAGATGCATATCACAGGAGTTTCACAATTACTACACCTATGGTATTTGAAATCCTTTGTCATGGGGGCATCTGGGTGACTCTGTCGGTTAAGCATCGGACTTCGGTTCAGATCATGACCTCGACGTTCACGAGTTTGAGCCCCATGTCGGGCTCTGTGCTAACAGTTCACAGCCTGCAGCCTACTTCAGATTCTGTATCTCCCCCTCTCTCTCTGCCCCTCCCTCGTTGGCACTCGCTCTCTCTCTCTAAAAATAAACATTAAAGATATTTTTTTAAATGTCAGCATACACTGACTATTAAAAAAAAGAAATACTTTGTCATGTCGTTTAGGAAAAGCTAAGCACACTTACACAATACCTATTTTAAATTCTATGGTATACATGCTCTAAAAAGTACTTACAGTGTATCCAAGCTGTTCAAATGTTTGTACAATTATGCAACAGGTCTCTCTCTTATTTGATTACAAAACTATTTTGCCTTTTGGGCCACAGTTAATAACTTTCAGAATAGGGTTACAGCTTCTATTATCAAGTTCTGCCTAACGCTGCCATCTAGTGATTCAGAGTGTGACTGCAGGCAAAACACATTAAATTGCTGAGGTGCTCTTTCAGAAAAAGAGCTTTAACACAGAAGTGTAAATAGTCCTTATTAAAGTTCTGTAACAATTGTTAGTAATATATTAAAAATATAAATTATTTTGTACATTTTGTTTTACAAATGTTTCAAAGATGTCACCCTACCAATCCCTTATTTAGGTCTTGTCATTTTGCCCTTATTTTAAAGGAGTCAAGATTTCTTTCATTCTGTTCCTCTTTAAGAATTTCTTAATGTTTTTATTTACTTTTGAGAGGCAGAGCATGAGTGGGGGAGGGACAGAAAGAGAGGGAGATAGAGAATCCAAAGCAGGCTCCAGGCTCTGAACTTTAAGCACAGAGTCTGATGTGGGGCTCGAGCTCACAACTGTGAGATCATTACCTGAGCCAAAGTCAGATGCTTAACCGAGTCACCCAGGTGCCCACTCTTTAAGAATTTTTAAAGTATTTTCTGGAACCCATGGGGGAGGGGAAGGAAAAAAAAAAAAAGAGGTTAGAGTGGAAGAGAGCCAAAGCATAAGAGACTCTTAAAAACTGAGAACAAACTGAGGGTTGATGGGGGGTGGGAGGGAGTGGAGGGGAGGTGATGGGTATTGAGGAGGGCACCTTTTGGGATGAGCACTGGGTGTTGTATGGAAACCAATTTGACAACAAACTTCATATATTGAAAAAAATAAATAAATAAAGTTTTTCTGGAAGTATATATTTCAAAAAATTTTAAATACTCTCTGCTCATAAGAAAGTCAAGTCAACCATTCAGACTATGTCATTTCATTTTACATTTATGCCTTTTCATTTTACAGTTTATTTCAATAGTGTAATAATTCTATATTGCACTGAATTATGGCCTTGTTATTTTATTTTTATTGAGGTAGAACTGATATAAAAATTATATTAGTTTCAGATGCACAACTTAATTATTTGGTAGTCATATGTATTACAAAATGATCACCATGGCAGGTCTAGTTAATATCTGTAACCATATATAGTTACAGAATTTTCTTTCTTATGAGAACTTTAAGATCTACTCTCTTAGCAACTCTGATATATGCAATATAGTATTTTTTTTTTCAACGTTTATTTATTTTTGGGACAGAGACAGACAGAGCATGAACGGGGGAGGGGCAGAGAGAGAGGGAGACACAGAATCGGAAACAGGCTCCAGGCTCTGAGCCATCAGCCCAGAGCCCGACACGGGGCTCGAACTCACGGACTGCGAGATCGTGACCTGGCTGAAGTCGGACGCTTAACTGACTGCGCCACCCAGGCGCCCCTGCAATATAGTATTTTTTAATGCTTAATGAATCTGTGTGTCTTCCTTGCATGGGGGTCATGCTAATTTCTGTACCCTCCTGATCTTTGTGTATGTGCTCCCAAAGTGATGTGCAATATCACTGCAATATAATCACTATGGTGTACAGTCTATCGCCAGGAGTTATTTTTATCCTATAACTGAAGTCTGTACTATTGGCTCCCTTGAGCCATTTTCCCCACCCCCTCGACCCCTGTCTCTGGCAACCATCAACTGTTCTCTTATCTATAAACTCGGTTTTGTTTGGTTTAAAATTTCACATTAATAAGTGAGATCATACAGTATCTTTCTCTGTCTGACTTATCTCACCTAGCATAATGCCCTCAATGTCCATCCATATTGTCACAAATGACTGGCTTTATTTACTATTAAATGAATATTCTAGTGGGGGGGGAGGGTGTGCACGCAATGAACCCCACAGTAAAGAAGAACATGGAATCAGAGATGCTCAGGGTTTAAAGGGCTTTCACAGGGACTTCATTCTTGCTACCTACTCAGTGTGTGGATTTCCTAGACAACAGCCCTGCCCTGTGCTTTCACTGCTAGAGTATCTTCAGTGTCCAAAGTGCAGCACCTCCCAAGCGAATCACTTTGCCTTGAGACAGTGAGTGCCGGAGTTACTGCTTACCAAGTCTAATAGCTTCCTGTAACATCTCTCTGTCGTCTTAATTCACCCTTGGCCATTTCTCTGCCCCCAAGTTTTAACTCTGCATTTTTTTGAGAAGGGGGCAGAGGGAGAGGGAGAGAGAGAATCTTAAGCAGGCTTCACACCCAGTGTGGAGCCCAACGTGGGGCTAGCTCTTACAACTATGAGATCATGACCTGAGCCGAAATCAAGAGTTGGATACCCAACCAACTGAGCCCCGCCCCCCAGGCGCCCCTGACTCCACATTCATAAAGCAGCCAGTAACTGAAGACTCTTCTCTTGCCCCCACCTTCTCCTCTTCTGCTCTCTCAACAATTTCTCACATGGCAGGTCTGCTTCCTCACCCATTCCCGATGTCGACCAGGACCATCAGATCCATACTTGTTGCCCTGGAATACCACGCATGGCATCTACAAGTACATAAACGTTAACTGGCAGTCACATCTTGATGCTATTTCATTGGTTTCCCATGGCTTTTCCAAACGTGACGCCAAAACAATTATGACATTCAGTGCTCCACAGTTGATTTCTATAGGTTGAACAAAACCTGATGTTCTCTCTTCAGTGTTTTGTATGTTCATTTTGAGCTCATGACTCCAGCTTGCTAAACCAGCTAATGTGTCATAGCTATTGCTCTTTGAAGACATGACCAGCAATTCCCCCCAAAACCCATTTCTCCCATGTATCTCTAGGGATTTGGCTGCCTTGCAAAGGACTGTTTCCCAGCCTCCCCTATGGCTAGGTGCGACTACATAACCAAGTTCTTGCCAGTGATGTGTGAGCAGTAGTGACATTTACAATTTCCAAAGCACCTGGTGAAAAAGCAATCCCTCATCCTGGACTTCCCTTCTAATTCCTCAATGCTGGCTAGAAATGGAAACATTGACAGTCACCTTGGAGGATGACTGAGTCCCACCACCTCAGTCCCTTAATGACTTCCTAGAACAAGAGTTCACTTACCTACCAGGTATGTTACAAAGAGAAAACATATCTGTTCCCTGAGTCCCTGCATTCAGAGTTTCTTTGTTACAAGAGCTTAGCCTAAAGATACTAAAACATCTTCCCAGCTTCTGTAATTTGAAAATATGATGAGCAGACATGCTATATTTTTAAAGCAATCATGGATAAACATCAGTCAGGACAAGCACAGAACAAGAACACTGTAAGAAGGTAAATGTTATTCTTCATTTTCATATTATTATAATAGCAGAGACAAACAATTCTCAGAGCATAAGAAAAAGGCACTAGCAAGTGGGAGGCTCTGAAGTAAGCCAATTCTGGAGCAGAGCTGGTTTCTGCCTACCCTATTTTACACCCTCCTGGATGATGGAGATATATTAAATACTCAAGGTACTCTTCAGATTAAATCACTGGGAAAGGTCCTTTAAAACCACATGGATTTTACTTGAAAATCTACCCTACCCTACCATTTAAAAACTTAAAGCTTTTTTTCTGGGGCGCCTGGGTGGCGCAGTCGGTTGAGCATCCGACTTCAGCCAGGTCACGATCTCGCGGTCCGTGAGTTCGAGCCCCGCGTCAGGCTCTGGGCTGATGGCTCAGAGCCTGGAGCCTGTTTCTGATTCTGTGTCTCCCTCTCTCTCTGCCCCTCCCCCGTTCATACTCTGTCTCTCTCTGTCCCAAAAATAAATAAACATTGAAAAAAAAATTTTTTTTAAAAATAAAAACTTAAAGCTTTTCAATTAATCCTTACATGAGAATATGACAAAATGAACAGACTTAAAACCAAGCCAAAAAAATTTCTGTGTATCACAGGGAACACTCAGAGTAAAAAGACAACCTACGGAATAAGAGGAAATATTTGCAACCATACATCTGATAAGGGGTTACTATCTGGAAAATATAACGAACTCCTACAATTCAACAAAAAACAAACTGATTTAAAAATGGACAATGGAAGGGTGACAGGTGAATGTCCGACTTCAGCTCAGGTCATGATCTCACAGTTCAGGAGTTGGGGTTCCACATCAGGCTCACTGCTGTCAGCACAGAGCCCACTTCAGATCCTCTGTCCCCCCTCTCTGTCCCTCCCCTGCTCACTCTCTCTCAAAACTAAATAAAACAAAAAAAAAAAAAAAAAAAACAAACAAAAAAATGGACAATGGACACAAATAGGCATTTTTCCAAAGAAGACATACAAATGGCCAACAAGCACATGAAAAGATGTTCAACATCAATAATCACCAGGGAAATGGAAATCAGACCCACAATGAGATACTGCCTCACACCCATTAGAATCACTATTATCAAAACAAAACAAAATAACAAGTGTTGACAAGGCTGTAGAGAAATTTGTACCCTTGCACATTACTGGTAGAAACAAAATGGTGTAGCCATTATGGAAAACAGTATGGTGGTTTCTCAAAAACTAAAAATACAATTAACACATAGTCTAGCAATTCTACTTCTGGGTATATACCCAAAAGAACTGGAAGCAGGGTCTCGAAGAGATAGTTGTAACCCATGTTCACAGCAGCATTAGTCCTAGAGCCACAAGGTGGAAGCAACCCAAGTGTCCACCAGCAGCCAAATGGACAAAATCTGCTGTAACACAACAGAATAGTACTTAGCCTTAAAAAGGGAGGAAACTCAGCCACATACTACAACATGGATGAACCCTGAGGACATCGTGCTCAGTGAAATAAGCCAGGCACAAAGGACAAACGTAGGATTCCACCTACATGAGGTAGCTGAGGTATCTAGAATGTAGAGTGGTTGCCAGGGGCTGAAGGGAGGGATGAGAGTTGCTGTTTAATGTGTACACAGTTTCAGTTTGGGAGAAGGAAAGAAGTTCTGGAGCTTGGTTGCTCCTCACGTGAATGTACTTAACACTACTGCACTGTATTTCATGTTGTTTTATTTTCCTGCAATTAAAACATTTAAGAAACCATATCAAATTTGTTCCAAGGCCACCTTTACGTTGAACTCTTAGTAGAATATCAGGCACAAATAACATTTAAAATGGAATCTTCTCAAGGCCCTCGCCCAGGGATACCATGTTCTACAGAGGAAAATGGTTTCCTAAAAAAAAAATGCGATGAAGGCAGATCCGGTCTATAAGCAAAAATGTTTTACCAGAGGAATGAGGACATGTCCACTACTGAATACTACCCCAATACAGGAATATTTATAAATTAGCATGAAAATATTTTCATTACCTTCTACCAATTAATGGCTTTTTAAAAATTTTATTTCAATCTCAACAAGACTTCTGATCAGATAAAAGTGAAGAACCCCAAAGCCAGCTAATCACCTCTAGGGGGCAGTAAAAGCACAGAGTTTGTTGATGAGCCTTGCCATGTGGGTCTGTAAGGCAGAATGACATACAGGAGTGATCTAACACTACTTCCAGCACGACTAGCTGGGCCGGTTCTCCTCCAACAGTAAATTGCAAGGATGTCTCTGATACTCTAATAATGTTTCTCCTGCTCAACAGTTTAACCCCAGGGCTGGTACTCCACCATTTTTGGTCTCATTCTTTGGCTTACTATGTCTTTGTGATCATAGGTGAAACATGAGGTATTCAATTCTGGGGACATGAATAGTTTTCTTTCTTACAGAAAAATAAACACATAGACACTAATCAAATCAACAGCCTATTTACTAAGGGCCTCTGATTGTGAAGCAGTCTGTTAGGTGCTCTGAAATCCCTGA